CATTTGTTGTCATTTGTAATCATCAAAATTAAACGAAATAAACATTTGAAATATATGAGTTTGTATGTAATGTATGAATTTAATATACAAGTTTCACTTTTTAAATGGAATTACTGAAATAAATCTACTTTTTCAAGATATTCTAATTTTATGACCAGCACCTGTATGTACTTTTCTAAAATCCCAACCCCAGTAATTCAATTTTTATTCCTCCTACAGTAATTACTAACCCCAAAACATAGATATCATCTTGAACACAAACAGGCTTGTCTGTTTTGATGTGTGGAAGGGTCAGAGGTGGTGATGGGGCTCAGACTTTTTGTAGATCTTGGTTTAGTGCGAGGGGCTGGAAGAGGAGAGTTAGCTGGATCTGGGTGTGGTGTTTGTTTGATATTAATCTCGCCAGTTTCTTTCATGTTGTTAGTAAAATCCAGGAGAGGGCATTCCATTTGCTGTCCTGTTGAGGTCTCAGGGTCCAAGAGATCCACTGTTTGTGATGCTGATGAATCCAGTCGTTCTTCCAGTTCTGAAGCTTGAAATAACTCCTCTCTGGTTCTGATTCTGCAGCAGTCTTCTAATCAGTAACTGGCACGCTGTGTTCCACTGATATCTCAGTTTTCTCCAGCTGTCCTTCAGACGTCAGCTGTTGTGGTTTTTCCTGTTTGTTTCTAGCCGGAACTTGGTTCAGGAAATACTTCATGTTTGAAGCCAGAAGTTGTGCTCTAGTTTGATTCAGAGTCATTACATCAAACTTGAAGAGATGTTTTCTTTCCCAGAAGAGATCAAAGTTATCCACAATATTCACAAAGTGGTCAGCACAGGACTTTTCCAAAAAGCCATTAAGAGCCAACAGTCTGCTGAACCTCTCAGCCCCTCCTCTGGCTGTAGGAACGGGCCCACTGAGGAACACATCCATGTTGAGATTTTTAACTGCATTCAGCAGCAGCATACAAGCCTTCTTCAGGATTTCTGACAGTCGGTTCATAACTTCATCACTTGCTGTATGAATGATGAGTGTATTCACAGTTTGATATTCTGCTGAGATTTCCAGAATCTTCTCTGTGAGGTCAGACACTTTATCAGCAAAACTCAGAACTTTGACTTTTTTCTTGTTCCAGAAGCCTCTGATCTTATTCACCATTTTATCTGTGATGATCAGCATTTCTTGATTTTTGAAAGTCTCTCTTCGGACTTGCTTTGGCTTTGAGCTGGATCTGATCTCAGATCCCTCTCTGAGATCAGGACATGAACTTTGTTCAGACTCACCAGTTTCTTCCAGTGTTGTGAATCTGTTTTGAAGCAAGACTGCTTCATTTCTCTGGCCGTTATCAGGTATTTTGATTTCAGCCTGTCGCTGCTTCCTTCTCCTTGCTGGTAGAGAGAAAACATTTCTCTGTAACTCTGGCCATTCATTGTCATCAAAGTGCTGAATACTTCCCGAGAGATTTTTTGGTCTGGAGAGAGTACCATACAGTTTTACTCTAAGAAGCAGCTTCCATCTCCTCTCCGTGTTGATCTCTCATCTCGGCCTTCTCACCCATTTTAATGCATGTTGAATTCTCCAAAGCGTTCATCTCTTCCAAACGATGAATCTTGAGCTCCAACACTGTCACCTTTTGGAGAAGCTGGCAGGAATCCTCTTTGGAAAAGTAAGGAGGCATCTTGAAGCTTTTACTCACTCTCAGCAGATGATGTTTCAAAAARCTTCTCAGGTTCTTCAACAGCCAAAAATAAAAATTCAATGTTCTTTGCTTATTCAAGATCATCCATCACAATCGTCACCAGCGTATCTCTGTTGTTAAAACAATTTACTATAAAAAAGGTTCTTTTCATCCAGCTGGAGTCACGGTCCAGAGCAGTCCAGTCCTTGTTTACTCATATCAATCCACCTGCAATGTGGCCTTGGTCCGTCGATCTCCTACTGGTCACTGCAACAACGCCAACTGTTATGGCAATATTTATTTAACAAAAACAGAAACACGTGGTCCAAGAACGAAAATACTCCGTGAGATGATCAGCTGAGTTTTATTACAACAACAGGAAACACAGAGAACAACCTGGCCTGTCTCTATGCCTCTGCTTCTCTTTGTCACTGTTTCTCCACACTACTCACTACTGTTGAACATTGTTGATGCAGTTGAGAGGCCTCATATATACTGTATATTAACAAAGACCATTATGTCATCTTAGCAAAATTTGATACAAAGTCAATGGAAAACACAAAGATAAACACAAGTGATGTCCAAGAATGACTGCAGTTAGCAAATCTTGTTCCGACTTTAATCATTCTGTCTGCAGATGAACAGCATGTCATGAAAACCTAGGTCATTAAAGGATGTCATGATTTACTTGCTTAAACATAAAAGTATTAGTTCCATTACAACACTTAAAAACCCTTAAGAGTACAAATATTCCAAAGATTGAAGATTGATTGTGGTTTTAAACTGGGATATGAACTGTGTCACAACTGCAATCATCCAACACTCAAAAGATGCTGCAACAGATCTCTTGGGTGGAAAAGTATGAAGAAATGCAGCAACGCAACATGTGGGCCAAAAGAAATAAGATACAGACTCTGTATCTTATTTAGACGGGACAGGAGTAAAAATTCAATCCCGTATCACCCTCTAATACAGAGGTGATTCTTGTTTTAATTTAGTGGAATCCTGTAGTTGTAGTTGAGAACAATTGGTACTGAGACAGCCCTACTGGAAACTACAAAAACACATTTACATAAAAATAAAGCAAAACAAAACACTTTTACAGCAGTAATGTGCTGGAAGACAGATGCATTTTAGATTGCACTGTTTGCTAGTCCATCTCCTGACTTGCTGCAGGTGAGTGTCAAAGAGGCATGTTTACTCATTTAACATGGGATCTGTGACATATACTGTATATGAACCAAGCTGAACCCTTCTAAAAAGGTGGTTTTAGATGAAATATGGTAAAATTACACAAAAGTACACAAAAATATCAAAAATTACACAGAAATATAAAAGATAATAACCTAAAGGGCCAATTTAGACAGTTTATCTGCAAAATATAATTGATTTGGGGTTTAGTTACTCTGAGAAGGCTGATGCAGCAAATGACTTGATGCTGTGTGAGTCAACAACTGTTTATAAAATGGATTAAAACATGATCTAAATCTCAGCCTAAACATAAAGACCTAAACAGAGATGGAGAAAAGTGTAAGCACTTCATAATATTGATTTTAACCTATATAACAGCACAAAGATTATAAGAAGTATGAGAGGATATGCTTTAGGCCTGGGTAACTTAAGACATGCAGCTTTTGAATAAAAATAAATAAATCAAATAAAATACCCCTAACCACAATACACTAACAATTTTACAAAAACCTCCTGGCTTGGTGCAAAAGATGCAAAAAAGGTGAGCTGGGTTATTTTAGTCAATGTGTTAAAACAGTCTTTTTTAAGCTAAGTCTTACACTAATGCCTGCAGACATGTTTTTCCCAGTCAAATCTTGTACTTATAATCCTCAATTTGCTTTTTTATTTATTTAATTTAATTTATTTAATTTATTTAATTTATTTTATTTATTGAAATGAAGAAGCTGAAATACAATATTGTTGCTATTTTCTTATCAGAAAAGACAAAAAGCCCAGACTGCTAAAACTGGAATTATTTTTATAAATAAATAAGGCAAGAAAAATTATTTTCTTACCTCAGTCAAAATTTGCTGCAAGACAATGGAAATGGCTTCAAATCGCTGATTGCTCTCCTGCAGTAGTTTAATCTGCTGGATGTTCTGGTCTTTCCTCTCATCCTGTGGGACACTTGCCCGTATCCCATTCTGAGATCTAAAGCTCTGGGTTGGTTGCTGCTGTGGCTTCTGTTGGCAGAAACTGGTCTTGGAGTTGTTCTTGTCCACTGTAAAAGAACATAGGTTGAGTGTTGTGACACTGATCACCAGCATGTTCCCATCCATAACCTCTGCACCACCCAACCTGTCAGGTCCCCCTCTGAGACCAACCCCAAAGAACAAGCCCTGGATTATCACTCTTCAAAGGTTCTGTCGAATCAGCTGGCCTGATAGTTCTCAGCACGGTTTCTTGATTACATTTAGTTTCAGACGACAACAGTCACTGAGGACTGCTTATTTTAGTAAGGCTGTGCTACACGAGCTTAGATTTATATTTACTTTATAAATACAGGGACATACGATAGGTAGCATTTGTCCTGATAGTGAGGAGCACATTGTTCAGTCTATTACAACACAAAGAGAGAAACACTTTTAAAAACCATCTGAAAACCACAAAGTGTAAAAAATTACTACATGTTTAGGCTTTTTTAAATAAAGATATCTATTTTCACTTTGAAAGTGCGAAATTTATGTAAAACAGCTATTTAAAAAATGCTGTAAAACTTAAAATGAAATAGATTAACAAAATTATAGCACCAACATCCTTACATCACAAACAAAAAAAAAAAAATCTGAATTGTTACGGTTATAACCTAAGCCTAACGAAGTCATCCACATAACTGCTACATGAAGCCACAGCTCACGGAGTTTTTATGATCATGTTCTTTATGTAGCATAAAACCTGGGCAGGACTCAAGTGAATCTAAATACACATGGCAGTGTATCATCTGAGACCGCAACATCCAAGGATAGTACAAGCTTGCATCTGTCAAATGTCATCGGTCTACATTTACTCTGGTGCTTTCCAGAAAACAACTTTGGTCCACTTGTTTGGTCCGGACCAAAAGTGGACTTTATTTTTTTTGTTTGGTGTGGCTTGCATTTACATAGTGCTTTTTTGAAAATGAACTTTAAGTTGTAAACAAAGCCATAAGGCTGACTATCATTGCTCCCATTGGACAAAAAAGGATGGGGGTGGGACTGAGCAACAGACCCAGAAAAAAAAACAAGTCCTGCATGTTGCGGTTCTGATGCGCACATTTATGCTGATAGTACAACTGCAATAGCATTTAAAATGTCAAAAGCAGTTAATTTAATGGTGGTTCCGTGATGATATTCTAATTTTGGAGCGACGTCACGTAAATGTGTCCCGCGACCCAAAGGAGACGAGGTGCGCTGCGTGTTCTGACCCACAACATGCTGTCAGCAGAGCTGCTAACAGGAGACGATGAAAAAGGTATGATTTCAGTTTATTTAGTTCAGCAACGGTGGCCTGTGAAGTCCAAAAAAGGTGCATGTTTAATGCAGTTGGTTCGGTTAGAGTCCGGTCTGTATTCACACCAGAAGCGAACTGAAGTGAACCTCACCAGAGTTTGTGTGGAAGCGGACCGAGACCACCTCAAAAAGCAAGTCTCGGTCCGGTTGTTTGATCCGTACTAGAGTTCGCATGAGTGTTTTCACACCTGCACAAAAGGTCCGAACCAACGCTGGAAACAAACTCTGGTTCGTTTCAAACGGACCAACTTGTCAGGTCTGAATACGACCTAAACCTCCTGGAATAAATCTTGTAAACAGATCACAGCAAAACACTGAACTGGGCACTTATCAAAGGATCTTTGAAAAACTAATTTGGTAAAAAAATAATAAAATAAAATAAAATAGAAACTTCTGCTATAAACCCAAAACATGTCAAATGTTAAATGCACAAGTGAAGATCCCTGTGAGAGAACTCAAAACACACCAATACTTCAGTTTCATCCCTTTCAAAAACCAATCGGTGCTTAAATACATATTTGTTGATTTTTGACAACTTGAAATTTGTTTTAAAAACCATAAAAATGTGTAATCCTCAAAATACACCAACTTTTAGGTCAGGCATTACATTTCATTTGTTTTGTACAGCTATAGTTTTTGTTGTTAAAATATATTCCCGATTAAAAAAGGTGAATGTAGATTTATTTTAACTTATAATGCCCTCTGCTGGTTATGCAAAGAGCAACAAAAACATGCCTGCAGACTGAATTTCATTCAGCTCTGAGTAATGTGTGCCTAACATGTCTCTGCTGGTACTCGTCTGGTTTTGGTCAGTCCATTTCACAAACATATGTACATAGAGTATAACTGAATTTGTTCTAATGATATTATAAATATCCTATTTGTTGAAGAGGCGGGTGACGATTCATTATTTAGAATCAAAAATGACAATTCATTATAATTTCCACATATTAAAGAGTTTTGTTACATTGTTAAAACATTTGTTTACTCCTATTGCAGATTACCATGATTGGTACTTGAAGCATAAAGTGTGTGTACATCTGCAAACATATTGCCTGGGAGTAAGTCAATTGAGCTTCATCTTCCGGTTTTTTAACACTTTGTGACTTTTTTCCCCTAAATATACAAAGCAACCCTACCAACTAATGCTCCACGGCAACAGAGGAATTCATGTTATTTTGGACAATTGTCCAGAGAGTGGTGAGGACACATGCTGCTCTGATTCATTTCAAACATACTTCCAAATGTAAAATAATTTTAGATTCAATCATTGGGCTCTTTGCCAAATTATAGTTCATTCAAAAATGTTTACATTCTGAACAAATAGGCAGTGCAACACAAAACTTAAATTTATTAACAAAAGAATTGTACAAATCAGTCTAACATTCTCAGACTGCATCAGAATACATCCCCAACGTCAACATACATCTGTGTGAGACTCGACATTGTGCTCTGCTGCTGTACAGAGATATCTCATCACAGCACAAAGCATGATGGGTAATGAGACATCGCACAATCAGACTCTTGTTGTGCTGCTTACTGGCTATAATTAGTCATTCTCTTGTTCGGTTTATCTATGTATACACATTTGTTAAAGCACTGATACATAAAGCACTTTATTAATGCATCAGGATTAGGGCAAAATAATTCACAGAGTAACTCAAATTACTTAAGTACAAAAGAAAATCTTTAACTCATGTCACTGCATGCTGCTTCGTGGATACAGTGTTTCATGTGGGCAGGTACTGTCAAACAGCATGCTTATGCCACGTTAAGTGCAATGAGAAGAAAGGCAAATAACAGCAAATAGACTAAAAAACTATAAACACTAAAACTTTGAGACCAGATCAAACGGGTTAAGCAAAACACTTTCTAGTAAAACCAAATTAGCTTATCTACAAAATAACTTTAAAAAGAGATTTACCTTCACTGAAACTGAATTACATGCAGGCAGTCTTTACAATGACGAGCAATTAAAGACAAACTGGAGCTAAGAAAGAGTAAATGTCAAATAGGGGCTGCATCAATTTTGTCGTTTCAGTGCACCCTTACTCACAGAGGTCTAACTTGTGGGAGAAAATTAGGTCACCTCTCTGGTCAAATGTATGCAAGATCCAGACAACTGTCAGTGATTCTAAAATAAATAACTGAATTTCATTTTTAGGTGCACCTGAGTATGTGCATGAAAAAGAGCAAACAAGGAAGGAAGGTGCAGCTTTCATTGTAAATACAACTCCAGGGCTTTTGAAACAAAAGCATGCAAAACCATGATTATCTAAATATTCAATGGGTCATTCAATAGAATATTCATTTTAAGCAGCCCTAATTATTTCTTTAAAAATGTACACAATGGTATCTCTGTTAAAAACAAGTTTCTGATGTAAATAATTTAGTCACATTTTAAATCAGAGAAAGTTTAATTTAAGTTACAGTTTAGGCAGCTGGCAGGAATGCTTCGACTGAAATGAAAACTGTGAAATATTGAGTTCCTGCAACACTGTTTACCAACCCTAACAAGGTTATCATAGATCAACATAAAGACCAAAATAACCTTAGTGCATCTGAGTGAAACAGGAGACCTGGGTGTCTGAGAGAGCAACAAGTATGTTTGTTGACTGATCTATAGATGCAGCCTCAAAAATTATACAAAACACTCCAGAATGTAAATATGACTTCAGGTCAGTTTTGTGTTTAAACTGTTGCTTGAAAAAAAAGGAAAATATTTCTGCTAAGAGCCAGAAGGTTTGCTGATCACTGTAGGTAAAAGAAACCTGAACTCCTCTGCCACCTTTGAAGACGCTAAACTAAAAATAGCTTTCAGAAACAACTAACAGCAGAGATCTGTTTAAACACTCAGCAGCAGAGATGCAGAAACATGGCACAGTTCTAGCAGTAAGGAAGTCAACATTAAACATGTAAACTACTAACAGACCTGCTTGGAAAACCACAGTGCTCTTTGTGCATCCCGAGACCAGCTGAATGTTTCGGAGTAAGCCTTTGGCTGTCAGACGCACATGGATGCTTGACAGGGAGAGCTTTGGAGACCATAACATGGTTCAAAACCAAAAGTTAAAAAAAGCCAAAGTTTATCAAATATACTTGGGAATAAAGCTGGTGGCTTAAGATAATTCACAGCAGCTACACATCACAAGCCATGGTGTAACTCCGTGCATCATGCCTCAGATGACTGCAGAGAAAAAAATAAAGTCTCTGCAGAACTGCAGTAGCTTGTAATCCAGCGAGACAGACTTAAAAATGGCGAGGACACCATGGTCAACATGGTAAATCTCCCAACTGAAAATTTTAATCCCAGCTGTAAGAAGTAGAATATGAAGAAAGAGTCAAAGGTTATCCAATGGTTGTGGCGGTCTTAAGAATGTGATGGAGGACAAAAAAATATCCCTTGATCCAGGTGGTAAATCAGGCCTCAAATATTTGCCAAAAACTCAAGTCTTTGACAGCAGACAGAAGCAGAATATCTGAGCTTGATGACTGATGCTGAAGGAGAGCCAGGATGCAAATGGAGAGAGCGAAGTGGGTGAGGGGGAGGAGCACAGAACTGCAGCCAATGGAAAAGTCTGGCTCTTCATTTGTTCTCTTCCTGTCACCATCCATGGGATGGCAACAAATACCATACTGCCAGGGGCAAGGTTAGTTTGATAAATAAAGAGACAACATAGCTGGGAAGAATAGGACATAAAAGATGTGTCCTAAACTAGTACAGACTGCCCCATGAGTCTAAATAACCAATAAAAGTGGGTTTTTATAAACTCACTAGAGGACACAGAAGAAGCCAGAAAGCATTCATAAAATTATACCATAATGGTATTTTTAAAATCAGACAATGTGGATGTAATGCAATTAAACGCCATGGGTAATTAAGAATGAAAAAGGTTTTGCTTTAAATAGGCACTAATCAAAGCTACACACAAAAAAGAAAAATATATCAAAATATAATTTTCTTCTACAGAGCCTGGTAAAATAAGTCACATTTGTAAAAGTTCAAGCTGATAGATTAACGAGGTTTTGTTAAAAATGCACAAAAAATATAAAGAGAATCGAAATCAAAAGAAATGTTAAAGCTGGTGGCAGTTGCTCATTAGTGTCACCATGGCAACAATACATCAGTGTCTCACTCCCTGACAAAACTCTTTTAAAACATGCAAAAACGAGTAAAAACTACACCTTGAACAGTCACTGTAGAAAAACAAGTCATGTAAAACCTGTGTATGGCACAAGTGTCTGCTGACCACACTATAAATATTTTTAGATTTTGTAGGTTTTCAGACCTTTTTTGACAACCAAATACAAAATCTTTCTGATAATGACGTTATAGTACAGACTTTACTAATTAGATAACAGGGAACAAAATCTTTTTAGTTTCTTGTTTTTAAAACTAAACATGTTTTGATCTTTATTACAAGATTGTTTTAACTGCTTTAATTCAGAGTAAAATTTAAGATACTATATCAAATAAATTGTGACTAACAAGCTGCATACATCTAGTAAACTATGTGAATTTATGAAGTGCTCATTTAAACCCGCACTGAAAAAAAAACACTACTTCCATCTTTTATATAGAGATAATACAGAACTACTTCTGATTTTTGTCAGAGATTAAAATCAGTATGCTTTTTAAGCCACAACAGAAACTAACAGGTCTGGAAATAAATGCCCCCCCCCCACCCCCAATGAAATAGATTGATGAATTGGAAGTAAGTTCTTACCAGATCCGACTGAAGTTGGTCCAACTGTTCCAGTGTGCGTAGTTCTTTTCACAGGACTGACTGCAGAACGTGAGGCTGTTTTGCTTGTAGAAGACGCAGGTTTGCATGCTGTAGTCAAAGCTGTGACAAGCAAGAAGATCTATATAAGAAAACAGGCTGGAGCCATCACCATCATCATCATCATCAATATCAACACCATGAAGCACAACACTGGCCTGTACCTACCAAGATTTGAAGGCAGTCTGGAGAAAAAAAAAAAGGATGGCCAAATCAAAAATGTTTGATAAACATTTACTGTCCCACAAATATGGAAGGGAAGTAATCAAAACCAGATTGAGCTTTGATAAGAGTTAAGCCTGTCACGATAACAAATTTTGCTGGGCGATTAATTGTCTCAAAAATTATTGCGATAAGCGATAATATTGCCTGGTGACCATTTTACAACTAATAATTATAAAAGCATAATATGCAAGTGTAATAAATCAATAAACTTTAATTTTTAAAGAATGTTTAAGTGGACTATCAGCCTAACAAAAAATGCACTTGAATAAAAAAAACAAAGAACAACAAAATGTGAATTAAACACCACACACAACTAAGACAGTAAATAAACAATATTAAAGAGCAGTATCTCTTTAGTGATGAAGCAAACTACACAGCCTGGTGAGGACCCACTGTTTCTTATGGGGACATAAGTCCAGTTCACAACTAAAGTTTTGGCTAGGTTTAGGGTCAAATGGTAATAGAAAATACTGGTAAATGAACGAAAGTCAATGCAAAGTCCCCATGAGGATAGAAGAACAAATGTGTCTGTGTGTGTGAGGAGGGGACAGTCAGTGAGGAGACAAGCAGAGAGCTGCGGGGGAGGAAATCAGACAGTTCGGAGTTTTCCTCATGAGTTGTTGGGACAGCTACAGGTCTTTTTTGGGTGTTTTGTTAAAACACAGATGGTGTGTTTAATGGTGCGTTCACACCAAACGCGATTTCAGCGTCAGGAGCAGCAGGTTTACATTCAAAGTCTATGGTGGAGGCGCTTCAAGCAACGTCGGGAAGTTCTGCGGCGCCTCAAGCGCGATTAGAGCAGCGCGATTTGAACGATTTGGACGATCTGAGCGTCGAACGCTCAGATCGTCCAAATCGTCCAAATCGCTGAAGTTGGGAAATCTGAACTTTTGCAGCTCGACGCGCAGCGTCAACCAATCAGAGAGACTCCACTGTGTGACGTAGCGACATATTTCCCGACGGGACAGTTTACTGAATGAGGTCCACTAACCTGAAACAGACGGAGCGGAGCTCTTTAGCTAAAATGAGTGCTGCAGTCGTGTCCTGATCCGCAGCAATGCGTGGCAGCGACTCATCAGACTGAAAAAAATAGTCCTGAAAACGAGCTGTGAGCCTCTTCTCTGAATTATCTGGTGAATTAATTATGAATTAATTATCTGATGAACGTGACACGTTCTGGCTGTCTGTAAATTAAAGCAAAGCCACTTCCTCGTCCCATAAAACGGAGCCCGACAGAGGAGGGAGGGGCGGGGCGGCTGTCGCCGTGCGGCGCTTCAACAACTGTCCTGCGTCTGACCTCAAAGTGCACAAGCTTCAGACTTCAGCGTTGGCTGCGATTTTGAAGCTGAAATCGCGTTCGGTGTGAACGCACCATTAGTTTCCTGTTATTTGTGGGAGCTGCAGGTAAAGTCTTGACGAGTTTGTCGCGGGTCTGGGAGAGTTTCAGCCCCTCTTTTTCTCTCTCTCTCACTCACACTCTCTCACTCTGCAGCGAAATTCAGGCTCTAGTGCTCCGACACTGCAGCAGCCGCATTCTGCTTTGAAACGTTTCTTTAGTTACGAGCTCTCATGCTAAAGCGAGAGTTCACTCCTCCCGACACTAAGAAAACAGGAGGGGAGGAGTCAGCTGAGCTCCTGTGTAGCGGAGCACAGAGAGGGAGAGAGACAAAGTAAACAAACAAGCAAGAAAATGAAACTTATCGTCCTCATTTTTTTACCGACCTCAAAATAACTTATTGTGCAATTAATTGATTTATTGACTATCGCGGCAGGCCTAATAAGAGTATTGTTTCCATGTTTAATCATTCGTAAATACTGTGGGTAGTGTGAAAATAAAACCTTGAGGGTTTAATTTTTTTATTACAATGTAAAAAAAGATTTGATTGCTAATAGAAAAAAAGTGTCTGATTTTGGTGAGGCTAAGATTGATTTAAAGAAGAAGCATTTACGTCCAATCCAACTTTATTTGTAAAACACTTTTTGCACTAGCCTGGTTAAAACCAGACCCCGTCCTTCACTTTGGTTCGTACAAGGGTCTGGGCTTGCTGCATAGACAATCGATTTCTTGCAGGAGGCGTGGCCTCCGCTGACGCATGTGTGTGTTGTCGGTGTGAAGGAGGCTAAGAAGCTAACCGGAAATCGCGAGCGCTGTAAACAACCCTACTGAGAGGAGAAAAGTACCGAGCTGAACGAGACTGTAAATGAGAGATGCTGCTTTGTCAGACAAATTTAATTTAATTTGGAACCCTTAACACGGACTGGCTTCATTCACTTCCTCCACTGCTGTATACTAAACTAACTAGCAGACAGTGCGCAGAACATAGACGTCATTCAAAAACTCCACCTTCTGTTTGCCGAMTGGCCCAGGTAAAATAAACTACAAGCAGACACTGCACAGAAAATTGACGTTCTSTTCTCTGATTGGCCCGGCTAAAAATCTGCCAGCAAAATCCATCTCAATGGGAGAAGTCCCAGACGGAGCAGCGAAAGGAAACTAGAATTGAGCGGAGCTGCATAGGAAGGCAAGAGCCAGGCTATTTTTGCACCAAAGTGCTTTACAGAATCAACATTCCAACACAGCTCTTACAAAAACAAACTCAATCAAAATTAAAAGAAAAAAATAATAAAAACAGAAAATATAAAAGCAGTTTAAAAAAAACAAAGTAAAAACAGAAAATAAAAACCAATAAAACACATTATGTATTCATGTAAATTCTGATGACGTAAATTAAAAAAGTATATTAGGTCTGAACTGCACGTCCATGGTTTCTTACCTGGTCCACTGAATTTTCCAGGGTTTGAAATGAACCGTGCTTTCAGTGCAGCCGGCTTAACTAGAGTTGGATTTTGTGCAGATCCTACAGAAACTGTTGGACAAAAGACCCACAGGTTAAAAAACACACCTAAACATGCTATGAAACATTTAAACAGTACTTGAAAATCACCAGCCAATCAGAACAGTACTTGACAACTCAACACGACACTGCTCTACTTATAGTAGGGTGAGGGAAATCTCAAACGCAACAACCTTGAATACGAATAAAAAGCTATGGAAAAAAAGTCAACCACACCATTATACTGGAAATAACAAACCCACTGATCTAAAGGCTATGAAACAATTTATGTGGACAAAACATTAAAAATTCACCACAAATCTTTTGAGTTCCCCTTACTCGTCCAAAGCGCCCTCTCCTTTCCATTAAAAGCAGCTAACAAAGGGAGGATACAGAAACGGTACGATCCGACGAGCAGGCACGTCAACAGAGTGAGATCACAGCTGGATGCTGCGCTGCCTGGAGTCAGCAGAGAAGAGTTACTGAAAATATGAACTGGGAGTTCAGTCCAAGTGCAGCTTCGGAGCCCAGTATAGCCAGCCATTGCTATTCTATGAAAAAATAAAGAGGTTGCCCTTTTTAAATCCAACTCAGACGACATCCATTGCAGTGCGTCTGCTTTTACTCCTCCAGGCAACACTGTGGTAAGTAGAGTGGAACAGAGCCTGTTGCCATAACAACATGAAGAGCAGCTCCACAGTTAGGAAAACAGGTCCTCTAAGCCAATCACAGACCTGCGTGCTGCCAAAGATTCTGGGAGAGAAGCCCCCCTGTGTGACAATGTTCAACCACTTCGATAATACTAATTTAATTATAATAACTCCACCACTAGGCACAAGTTCTAAACTTTGGCAGTTTTCTATCACCGATCTGGAACCCCCATCATTTGCATATTTTGGACTTCGCAGTACTTGTACATCAGAAACTACTGAAGATAAAGATCTACACTAATAAAATGCTAAGCTCAGTTGAACCTGAATGTGTTACAGCTTGGCCTAAATCTGAAATAGATCAAAATTTAAACAGCATCACAACCCATCTTGCTCAGAATATATTGATGCAGAAAAAGGAAAATCTCAACATCATGACTAAAACAGTCTGCATCAAAACATACAGTATTTAATGACCTGTGGAGAAAACATTTTTCAGAAAGAGTAAACTGTGAGACTCACCTGATGTAGTCCTGGCTCTTTGACCCAATTCACTATGATCACCACTTTCATTAAGACCCCTGGATGGTCCCGGGGTTCTCCGTGGTATTCTGGAAGCAGGAGTAAGGGGTGGGCCCATAAGAGAGGGGCGAGTGGGAGTCTGAGGGGGCCTGGTTCCATTGAGCTGGGCCTTAACGGCGAGGGATGGCTCCTCTGCTGCCTGTGCTCTCTGACTGCCTGGCATGAAGTTGACAATAAGCAGCTTAGATCCCTTCAAAAAAACTTTACTACAAGTCTACAGAGAGTGTAATATTTAATCATTTTAGATGGGTACACTTGAGAAATAGTAATAAAAAAATAAAACTCCACAAGTTTACCATGTTTGAACACCCACATTTTGTCTGACCAAGACCTAAATTACCAAGAGACTTGCAGTAATAATCATCCTCTCACTGCACAAAGTGTATAAAGTATTAAAACACATTGCTGATCAAATTATTGGCACATGCTCATGTGTGGTTCCGAGTGGCACCGTGTGCCCGGCTTCTAATCAATCATTTTCTCTCATGAGCCATGTGTCACTTGATTCTCTATTTTGACCCAATCACAAACAGTTTAATTGAGGCATGACTTCCTGTTTTCAACCAGTGTCTTGTGGGGAATATGAGTTTGAGATTCAGCAGTAGTTTACTGTAGATGAGACTGAAATCTACCAGCAGATTTATAAGAAGTGGTGGGATGCTTTAAAAAGTGATGGTATGCTTAAAAGGGATCCATGATTAGTTGTAACATTAGACTTTATTTAATAAACACATTTTAACTGTAAAATAAATACTGTAAAAATACTGTAGGCTGTTTAGTTTTTATAATTTTAAACTAAAAGTTTAAAAATATATTACACAGATGGGGCCATTTTATTTACAAGCATCATTCTGGGTAAATGATGTGGATAGGTCCTCAGTGTGAGGCTGCTAGTGAGCTATATCCACCCTGAAGGTTAATCTTGGACAATATCTGATGATCGACACTCTTAAATGAAACCAGAGAGCGTTGACAGAGAGGAGAAGGTAGAAATGACTCAGCCTGCAACTGAAAATATAGATGGACGACAACAGAGCTGCTTAATGGAAGAAGAACCTCAGCTTAGCCTATTAGCTTTAGCATTAGCCCCGACACTATAACTATATATATGTATTAGCTCAGCGCTACATATTCTCCTCTTGTCATTGAGGTCCTCCATCCACATGACAGAGAGGGGAACACAAAAATGACAGCCTGCAACTAAAAATATGGATGGAGGACCTCAGTTTAGCTTGTTAGTTTGTCGAGCTAGCACAGAGCTAAATACATATAAAGGCAATATAGCTTCGGCGCTAGAGCAAAGGCACAGGCTAAGCTGAGGTTCTTCTTCCATCTTCCATGAAGCAGCTCTGTTGTCCTCCATCCACATTTTCAGTTACAGGCTGAGTCATTTCTACCTTCTGTCAACGCTCTCGGGTTTCATTTAAAAGAGTCGATCATCAGATATTGTCCAAGATTAACCTTCAGGGTGGATATAGCTCGCTCACACCAAGGACCTATCCACGCCATCATTTACACAGAATGCTTTGTGTGTAAATAAAATGGCTCCGTCTGTGTCAAAATACATTTTTCAAAATTGCCTACAGTATTTTTAGTCTATTTTACAGTTAAAATAAATGTTTATCAAATAAAGTCTAATGTTACAGCTAATCAGGGATCCCTTTAAAAATAAATAAATAGTGTTTTGGTACTAAATAAAAGAGAAGAGTAGTGGCACACTTCCAGCACTGCTCTTATGGGAAACAAATGTGAAAAACTTTGTTCAATATTATATTTTTTAAATTTTTTTCCTTAAATCAAAGATTTTTTTAACCATCTTGTTCAAGGCCCTTTCACATTAGAACAATTTGGACAACTTATTGTTATGACTATTTTACTCATATTTGCTAGTATATTAGATCTAATTGTTAGCATTAAAACATGTAGAGGTCCTAAAGAAGCTTCCAGTAGATTTTTTTAAAATTCCATTTTCAGTGTAGACATCCTTAGCGTTGGACAATTTTCACAAGTTGGCACAAGTTGTCTAAAACATTACATTGTGACAGAGCCTCTATGTTTAACTGAAAACTTTATTTTGCTATATTTTTGATTTGTCCATATTAATATAAATTGTGATGTTTTTCCACTTTATTTCACAATCAACCATCCACGATATCTTAGGAGAAACATGTTATATCACAACACACATAATTTAGAAAAACAAACTAAATTTGGGGAAAATAACAATGCCTTCATTAGAGCTCTAAAATATAATGGAAGTGCACCACTATTCTGACTTTATTTGTGTTTATTAGATACAATTTTCAAGGACGGAACCAGTACTCTGATTTAGGAACAGCTCAATGTCACCCTCTGATGGGAAGATGAAGTATAAAACATTTAGAGCAGCCTGTCAAATATGAGAGGGATGATAGTTGTGTGAACACAATGGGCCTCATGCAAGAACATGTTCGCATTCTTATCCTAAATTTCTCTTTTGTTTGTACGAACATGCCAGGTCAGATTCAAACTCTATCTTCAGGAAAAGTGTGTAAATGAGCTGCATAAACTGATGAATGTGTATCAGGTACTCGTGCACGGGGTGAGGTGATTAGCATAAGCTACCACCTTAAAAACACCATATATGGTAACGTTTCCCATCTGACATATCAGGAAGTGTCCATTCATTAATGACATCGCAAAGTAAAAAAGAAGAACTTTACGAGTTCGGAGAGTGAAGTTCTGCTCCCAGAGATCCAGAAAAAAAAACTGTCCTTTTTAGCAGCGTCAGACCTACTAAAGCCGAGGAATGAAATGATGACTGCTGTTAATGTCGTGTTTCCTGTGGGTCGCATACAGTCACATAAATAACTAGAAGCCCTCTGAGAGTGCAAACCTCTGCCAAAGCAGAGATGGAAACACATTTGCTGAATAAGTTCTGATGTAGTGAACATTTAAGCAGGCAGTATGCACGGAATTTCAATCCGGTGGAGTTCAATGACAAAAAAAAATAAATAGTCAGAGACTCGTCACCCAACGTTATTTGTCCACAAACTGGTCCCAGATAAAGGTCCTAAGTTTTCATCAGTCAGATTCCATCGTATAAAACGTCTGTTTTATCCCATTTTATGAGTCTGTAATGGTTTGACTCTCTTTCTAAACTACTGCTTCCTGGTACAATCGGCTCCGCGTCTGAGCGCTTTTAGCACAAACAAACACTCCCATGAACTTCTGACAAATCACTCAATAAAGTTGTTATGTGGAGTGGGTACCTGGTTGATCAGCTGTTCCCGCTGTTTGGTACCAGCTTCGGCTCAGCTACAGCTGGGCCCTCCCCTGCTCTCAGCGTCTCCTCAGATATTCCCGTAACGTCAAGAGAATCACATTTCTTTTTCTATGTCTCCAGACAGCATGTAACATCACCAATACTGGTTGATAACAGAATAATCACAACTTTCCCGATGGTAGGCATCCTGGGAGGTGTAGTCCCAGTGACTTTGAGACTTCTACTTCCTGTTTACAGGCATGCGTCTGACGTCATGACACTGCGTAGCCTGTCGCCATGACAATTTGCGTAGCCTGTCTGATTTGGTTGAATTAAAAGAAACTCCATAATTATGTAGGAGTAGCAATAGGCTATTCTGCTTGAATTAGAGTTATAATTTTAAATGTAATAATTTAGACTAACAATATAAATTGTCCGTCCGGCCGGCTTATCCGCTATCGGGGGCAGCAGCAGAAAGACCCCGCTCTCCCCAGCGACACTTTCCAGCTCATCCTGGGGGACTCCCGAGACGTTCCCAGGCCAGAGGGGAAACAATCCCTCCAGCGAGTCCTGGATTTCTCCAAAGTGCCAGACTTATTTTGAAAACATTTTAAAATGCTTATTTCAAACCCGTGTAGGGGTGAGTTATTTATTCAAATAACTTATCCACATCTTCTCATAACAAAGTTATAAGAGTAAAATTTTACCAAGGTTTCTTCTCATTACTTAATATTTGTCTGTGC